TCTCATATAGAAATCTAATACTATAAGCCAGTATAAGCTAATTTAATAATAAAAGATTGTTAATTAATTACATATTTTAAATATTAAAAGCACTGTCAAGTTTTCAATATTAAAGCTTTAAATATTAAAGCTTTAAAAGCACTATTTAAGTTTTAATATTAAAAATATGTAATTACTGTCTTTTAACAATAAATTAGTAAGTATTAGATTTCTGTAAAGATTTTATGGTTGGCAAGCACTTATTTTTTCAAAGATGTTTAATCAGTAACGATTAAAAGATTGTTTCGAATTACGTTTCTACATATACAGATTATGTGGCTGCAAGAGGAGCACAGGAATCAAGGCGCTTATTATTACGTGAGAGATAGGATAGCCTTAGCCTTGGGCATTTCACTGGAGGACGTAAAGTACGGCGGCCGTCTTGCTTCGTCGGCACCAGCGACCGGTAGCAAAATTATTTACAAGAATGAGTATCATAACATGATGACAACCGCGATGAAGCTTAATTAATCCCTTGGAAATTGTTATAAAACTGTATATCAGAAAAATAATTTTCTTTTTGAGAAAACGTCATGTATATGTATTGTAAGAAAATATATTTGTGTCGTAAATTGTACGAAGAAAAACTGAACCAAATTGTTGTTTTAAAACATTTATACAATCAAGCGTTCATTTAATAATAATAAGAGATCACACCTGCGATTAATTTTGATTACCGGATTGCGCGTAACTCACTCACCAGCAGGCTCGAATATTCGGTGCCTTCCTGCGTCGTGCACGAAAAAGTTATTCCATTCAAACAATTCCACATTACATTTTCATTTTTTATCGGACTTCCGGAAGACTTTCTAGATACGAGTCGCAAGGACGCACGACATGGGACTAGAGTTAAAGTCGATTAAGCTAGGGAGGCGCTAATAATTGTCGGTACACACATGCAAAAAGAATTTACACCTTGAACTGAGGTCACAATTATTAACGGCTTAAATAATTTCATTTGCGATACTGGCTAACAGTGACTTTATTGTTTCCGCCTTAAAATGATATTTATTGTGTCGAGAAATGTCGTCACGTCAAATACAGATTGCTTGAAGTTTAGCGAGCAAGAATTTCTACATTTCTAAGAAACCTGAAGATATCGGTTTGAAGTGAAAAAGGAGTGGTTGATAAGTGCACTAATAATCGTTTGTTTTTATCAGACTTTAGACGTTCTTCAATTTCAATTTTTACTTATTCAAGGAACAAATTTAGATTATCGGAATTATTATTGACCTTTCTGTCTTAAAGCTGAAGATAGCCAATACACGTTACGTAATGCTATTGTAATGTGATTATTGTTGAAGTTCAAGTTTAATGCCCTCATGAATATTAATTAACAAATTATGATACATACAAATGAAGAAGAAGTTCATCGAAAAGGAACTCACATATCCCCAATCAGTACAAAATATTTAAAAAATATTTTTTTAATATTTATTAAATATTTTTTTTATTAAATAAGTATTAAAAAAACATTGTCTATATTGATTGGGTCACTTTTCGTACTTGGAATTTACTTTTCTGAAAACGTTTGATAGTGACATAATTAAAGATAAAACTCTCTCTTTATAGATAAAACATTATAAAATAACATTTAATATTGTAACAAAAGAAAAAAAATGCAACGGTAACTTCTCAAACGAGAAGTACTCGCACATGACATAACAATTTCTTACCATTTCGTCAAGTTGAAAACGTTCAAAACGACGCGTGCGGTTTTAACATCGAAAGGAAACGTGCCACTCGGTAGAATTATTTTCTCTTTATTTTTACACTTACACTTCGATAAGAAACGCGAACTTCATTTTTATCATACATTCGTTATATTCTCCCTCATTATTGTCAGGTAAAAATATATTTCCACAACACACTGTCCACCGAAATCGAAGTCAATTCGATCGTTATTTTTGATCTTTCTGCAGCAGTATTTTTTGCTGTCGTCTAGGCAATTGTTTGTGCGGTATGTACTGTAAATAAATGCTTTTTCTTGAATAATTCATGTATGGAAAAGATACATTTTTATTGCATGCATGATAAGTAGACGGTAGTCTACAAAGTGATTTAGAAAATAAATTGAAATTAAAGATTGCAAGGAATGAATAATTATTGTAATTAGCAGTAATAAATAATAAGTTTTTTTCAAGAACGTAAGTAATAAATAAATAGTGAAAATAAATTTTTAGCCCTTTACACTTTTTTGTGATTCTAATTTTTAAAAAAAAAAAAAAAAGATTAAGTGATTGCTATCTATTGCTTGACAATGGTGATCAATTACTACGCAGTTGAAAAATGAGGAAATGTTCGATGTTGTTATTTTAGTTATTGAAATGCCACTAGACATTAATGTTTCTTTCTCTTTCTTGACTTTTTTACTTACTGGTTTTTATTGTCATAAAACGTATTGACGGCAATATTTTCCGTAAGCGGCACATGCACCGATATCGACTATCTGTCAGCGAAGGGAAACCGATACTGAAAATACTGGTCGTGACAACGGATAAGAAAATCTTTATCAAACGATTTGTGCACCCACCTTCGTATCGTTCATTAACAATCGTGAACAGATAAGACAGTGAAAAAGGATTGATCATTAGTTTCTATTGAGACTGGTCAATTCATTTCTGATTAGTGAGAGATAAGGTTTAACTTTATTAAAACAGTATAGATTTACAATACTAATAAAATCAGAGTTTTGATAATGTAAAATCAGCTAAATGTATAATAAAATAATATTTTTTATACATTTTATAAATTATTTTAAACAATTTAATTAATTAAGAAAATCGCGTTTAATCTAACTATAAATTATTGTTAGTTTTTACTACTTACTTAATCATTTTGTCTCCTATATTATTTTATGTTCTTTTCCTTTTTATTGCGATTTTTAAAAATAAATATTTTAATTTTTATTAATTTTTTCAAATCAGAAATTTAATATATTCTGTTGTATGTATATAATAATTTTCTTAAATTTGAAGGTTTAGCTGATAAAATGTTTAATAAAAAAATTGCATATAAGAGAAATTAATAAAATAAAATAAAGAAGAAAAATAAAAAGTAAAATTAAAAAATCGTAGCAAATATATTTTCAGATTATAACAACTGTTGCAAATTTATAGAGCATACTGTGTTAAATGAATGCTATGTTTGAAATAAAACTGATCTTATAATTAGCCGAATAGAAATAAATACATATTATAATGTAATGGTTTATAATAAATTAAATTATTACAATTCTTTGTATAGTAAATTGAAAAATGCAATTAACATTTATATTAGATGTTCCAACATTCGCGAATCAAAATATTATAGCAGAAAAGTTTTTGAAAAATTAAGTAAAAAAGTTATGTCTAAATTTTTCCTTTAAACAGCAATTTTTTAGATAATAAGCGTTTAATAGAGCCAATAACCATTAATTATGTTATTCGACTACCTGTTCATGAGTCGCACGTGTGATAGATTAGCAAGAGCGAGTGAGCACATACTGTAAGTCTCTTACTAATACTTATAGGTGACCTTCCAACATAATCTGTAATTGACCACATATTTAATTCCTTATATCTCAAAAACTACTGCTAAAATAAAAATTTACAAATAACATATAAATTTATAGTGTGATCAAAGTCTCAGTACAAACAGTTCAAACCTTTTGGAGCATTTGATTGACTAATTAGAAGAAAGACTTTTACTAATTGCCTAATCAAAGAATGCTTCAAAACATTTGTAATTTCATGTTGACCGTTTAATTTAGAGTCCGAATGAAACTTTTGATGAAACCAAACTGAACCAAAATACTTAGCTACATGTTAATTTTAACTGAAACTAAAATTAAAAAAATAGAAATTCTCTATGAAGGCCATATGTATAGACATATTCACATATACATCATAATTCATAATTTATTGAAACAATAATTAAATTTCTGTCGAAATCGAAAATTAAAATTTTGGTTGTATATCAATTTTAGAGAAAAAAGAATATAAGTACTTCTTCTTCATAATTTAATTATTGAAACAATAATTACAAATATTAAAAATTAACATTTATGAAAAAGAGCTATCTGGTTTCAATCAAAACTGATACGTAATGAGTGTTCGTTTTCAGTTTCGGTAAAAGTTTCGGACGGATTCTAATTTATACACATATTTATTAGGTCTACAACTTAATTCTCTTTTTTACGAAGTTTTTTACCAGTTTATATACAATATTTAGTGTATTATCTAATTATTCTGTTACTAGTGGATGTATACGCTGCAGATGACGTCTTAAATTTACACTTTACGTTCACGAGTTATTGTTCTATATATTTACAGATTTTATATTTAGAGAATATTTTTTGTCTTCTGTAAAGTATTGTCATATCAAGCTGCTTTTTTTCAACTTCATCAATTTGGGCTTCGTCAGTTTTGTGAACCCGAAATAATGTACTTTTCCTTCTAATTTAGCAGGAAAGAATACATCATTACAAGTATTACATTTAATTTTATTGTTTATTCTGCTACAATATTTTCATATCCAAGACTCTTGCAAATTTTGTATGTAGCTCTAATTATGTTCGTACAGAATCTTAAATCATATTAATAATACTAAGCCAAAGATTATCCAAATGCATTAGAAATTGAATGTTTTGATAGAAATACTATTTAAAGCTGAGATGATGGACCAATTACTGAAATGCGAAAATTTCTATTAATCATTACTATTATAATATTTATATGATAATAAATATGAATTATCCAATATTAATATAGACTAAATTTTGTTATTCAATTCAATAAATTTTAAGATTTATAAAATACTTCAAAATCAAATATCAAACAAAACTTTTATAATTTTTAAAATGAACAAATCTTAATATTTAATTTCTTTATAAATGCATATAAATAAGTGTAGGAGAATAAGATATACAAATAGATGTAACATTTACCATTATCATCGTCCGATTCTTCTGTTTGTAAATGTATATCAGTCTGATGAGAAATTAAAGCCATGTTATTTCCTTCAGTTAATGGATTTATTGATATAAGTAAACAAATTAAAAAATATTGTGTATTTGTTTAATTAGTAGGTTGGTATTATACTTTTTAAAAGTAAACCAGTGACTTTTAGTGGTACATTTATAATTGATGTAATCATCAGCGAATATTTACTGTTCTTTAATAATAATATATACACTGATATGCTTTTAGAGATTATGATTTCTGCATATTCAATTTACTGAAATGCGTTTCTGCATATTCAATTTATTGAAATGCATTTCTGCATATTCAATTTACTGAAAATTGTAAATTCTAAATTAAATCAGTGTATTATTACTAAAAAATAGTAAATATTCGCTGATTATTACATCAGTCATAAGAGTAGCACTGAAGTCAATAATAATACGCTGATTCACTTTTAGAAAGTACGGTCAAAATTCAAATTGATAACAGTATTTCATGACTATTTCAAAGTAAAGACATTTTTTTATCGAAATAATAAAAAATTCGATGTCTAAGTTCAAATACAACTTAAAATTGAAAATGCCTGATTAATAAGTCGAATATCAAAAGTTCTATTAATCATGAGTGTTGAAATATGTGAAAAAAGTATCAATTATCCGACTCTCAT